TGGTGGTGAGGGCGGCGGAGAGGGCGGCGGCGGGGAGGGTGGTGGTGAGGGCGGCGGTGAGGGCGGCGGCGGGGAGGGCGGCGGCGAGGGCGGCGGCGATGCGAGCGTCAGAAGCATAAAATGGGATGAGCATGGCGCGGGCTCGTTTGGGGGGTCGCGGGGGCGCAGTAGGTATGAAGGCGACCCGCGGACGCGCGCTCAGCAGCGCTCCGACCGCGATCCGATTGTGCCAGATTCGCGGCGCTCGATCCTCGGCGGCTCGCGCGGCGGCGGTCGCAGCACGGCGTGCAGCCGGGCACGGGCTCGCTGCAGTGGTGGTTGTGGGGCGAGGCGAGATTGCACGCGCGGGGGCAGCTCTCATCTCGCGCTGCGTCGCGCGGGGCGAGGGGCGAGGCGAGTGGCAACCATGGCAAAGGCACGTGCAATCTCTTCTCGCAATCTTTCAGTTTCGGTGGCAACGCGCAGAAACAGATCTCGGCGATTTTCGTGTTGGCGACAAGAAGCGTTCGGCATTGCGTTTTTTGAAGAAATCGCTTGGACGTAAAGGAAAAGGAAAGGAGCGGGACGACGACCGCGACCTTCATGCCCCCGCTGGATATCCTTTGGCCGCGTTGGGCCCAACCCAGAGGCAACCAAGAGTGACCGGACTTGGGGGGACAATGGGCGCGCGGGCGGCGCGTCGTGGTCCTGGGCGAGCAAGGGCAGTGGTTAGGAGTTGGTGGTGGAGGATTGGAGATATGAGGATTGTCGAGATGTCATGCGAGAGCGGTAGGTGGGCGAAGGTAGCGCGGCTGGAGAGTGGTGTCCGAGGGACGATGATGAGTTGTCAGTTGGGGCGCGAGACGCGCGGGATTCATTTTCATACTATATAGGGTGCTGATTTGTGAGCTGAGCAATGCCTGCAGGGCTTGCGGCGGGAAGTGTGCGGCTTTTGGTCGAGTGGTCTGGGGTTCGAGCCCGGCCGGGCGAGTAGCGCGGAGCGCTCGCGGCGCAACGCGCGCGTGCATGTGAGCGTGCAGGGAGCGAGTATGGAGTGAGCCAGGCAGCGAGGGAGCCAGGAAGCGTGCAAGCGGCGCGCGAGCCCCGGATTTTTTTGCTGTGCGAAGTCGAGCAGTTCGTGGCCCGGTGCCCCGGGAAACTTCCCCAAAAAACCCGCGCCAACCCGCCCGATTGGTACGAATCGATGGTGCCTGAATTGCTCCAACCCGATGTCGCAAAAGCCT